ATGTGTTGCTTCCATTTTTCTTTTTCCTTTTTACTAGATTGCAAGTGACATGAAAATGGTTGTCAGAATAAATAAAACATCATTGCTGTCGGAAAAAGTGAAAGATTGTTTTTATTACAATCCTAATATGAAACTAGGCAAAAAGAATAAGAACCGTATAGAGCGTCACTCAAAGCATTCAAATCATACAAGAAAGAGTTGAAAGTTGGAAAATCTTGTAATCACAAAGTTCAGTTTTTATTTAAAACATTAATAACTGTCGTTGTTTAGTCGTGTCTGACTCTTCATGGCCCCATGGACCAGAGCACGCCAGGCCCTCCTGTCTTCCACTGCATCCCGGAGTTGTGTCAAATTCATGATGGTTGCTTCAATGACACTATCCAACCATCTTATCCTCTGTTGTCCCCTTGTCCTGTTGCCTTCACACTTTCCCAACATCAAGGTCTTTTCCAAGGAGTCTTCTCTTCTCATGTGATGGCTAAAGTACTGGAGCCTCAGCTTCAGGATCTGTCTTTGCAGTGAGCACTCAGGGTTGATTTCCTTTAGGTATCTTGCCATAGAGCCAGAGGATGGAAGTTAAGATTCCTCACTGAATTCCAGTGGAAGAGGCAGCCTGTTTAGCCATAGTCAAGAAGAAGGGAATGATAAAACATTTCTTAGTACATATTCTCTACCTAGAAAACTCTGAAAAAGGTTGCTGTAATTTGGAATTGATGGCATGTAATGATTATTGTGCAGGCAATGATCTTGTGCTGGCAGACCAAATCAACATTTTACAAATCAGCATTTTACAATTCTAAAAATGGGGCAGCCCAGACAAAAATTATAACTTTGACAATGCAATTCAGATCAACACCAAATGTGACACAGATGTAGTAGACGGTCTGCTGTTGCTCTGTACTAAATTTGGGGAAGTTTCAAGAACAGGGTTTTGGAGTATGGTTTTTAAAAGTAAAGCATCCCCAGATGTAAGAGAGCTTGTATAAATTGAAAAGATCAATCTTGCTTACCTTGAAAAATTATTTATCCCACCTGCTTTAAAAAAAAAAAATTAGGAAAGAAGCCAGACTGCAGGAGCTGAAATATTGATCCTCAAAAAGGTCTTTCAAAAAAGCAAAGTTTAAAAATCAGGCTTGCTTAAAAGAAAATAATGGTGTGACATTTCTCTACAAAGGGACATTTTGCCATGTATCTCCAGGGAATTAGCATATAATTTTTAAAGGCACATTCAAAGTATTTCTGCATTACAAAAGCACAGAGCAGTTCTGTTTTTTCCAGCCTTGGTTGCTTTCAGTAAACATTCTGTCAAGATTTCTGAAACCAGGCTCCTGACACAAGTCTTCCAATGGGAAATCTACTCCATGTCTGGGGCAATCTGAACATTTGATCCTTTCAGTCAGGGCCCAGTTAGCTTACTCACAGCTAATTGTTAACTTCTTCCTGGCCAAACAGACATTCATTCTGGCAAAGGGATTCTATGTCTGGTTTTCAAATTATTTTAAAAGTTTTTTTTTTAAAAAAATGGAGAACAAATATTCAGAGGCTCACTCATTTAAGTAGTGAAATTGCTGTTTTTGCTTTGTGACTGGGGATGGTCTTACCTGATGTTAACAAAGCATTGGTGCATATATACTGTCACAATTTCAAGAATTCCATCTGTTTTGTCACTATACAATTGTCTGGTAATTAAGAAAAAAACTCCAAAGATGTTATGTGCCATCAAATCACTTCTGATATATGGTGAGTGTATGTCTAGCGATATTGTCTTTTTCAGTAAGATCTGCGTAGGTTTTCAAAACAGCAGCTGTGGCTTCCTTTATTGAGACGATCTGCCTCATATTAGGTGTTCTTTGCTTCCTAACCCCCTCCCCCTTTCCCAGCATGTGCGCATGCGCACACACACACACACACACACACACACACACACACACGCACACACGCACACACGCACACACGCACACACGCTCAGCTCTTTATTTTCAGATATGTACATGGTAGGGTTGCCTCAATTTACTCATTTTTGCTCTAGTGAAAGTTCAAGGTTTGACTTGACTGAGCACCCACTTTTCTGCCTTTCTGGCTGTCTGTGGTATCTGTAAAATTCTCCTCCAGCACTATATTTCGGATGAGTTTATTTTTGTCACTGTCTTTCTTCACTGTCTTTCTTTTACCAGAGTATGGATTATTTTGACCTTGGTTTCCAGTTGTCTTTCTTCACTGTCTTTTACCAGAGTATGGATTATTTTGCCTTGGTTTCCAGTAACAATTTTTGTTAACTCCAAGCTCTCCTTTAAAAAAAAATTATTTCAAAGTGTGATGGAAAACATTTTGGAAAAAATATTTTGGAAAATGTGCACACATCTTAGAACTTTGGGTCTAATATAGCCTTTCCTTCTCAGGTTGCCTACTCCAAAGAAAGAGCCTGAGAACTGGGACATAGCTTTCAGTTTTGCATTTTGTGGACCAGGCATGGCAACGTTAGTTTACCTGACAGCTTGAAGGGTGTGCATGTTTTTCCATTGTAGGTGTTACACTCACTCGCACCTTTGCTTTGCCATTTCATTAACTCCAACACAGCCCTTCAGAATATTTTCCCACAGAGGGACTACATAGCAGAAGGAGTTTGAATGTTGAGAACACCAATGGCAGCAGTCCAGATGGTCTTCTACAGCACTGGTTCTTAACCTTTGTTACTCAGATGTTTTTGGACTGCAACTCCCGGAAGCCTTCACCATCAGCTCTGCTGGCTGAGGTTTCTGGGAGTTGCAGTTCGAAAACACCTGAGTAACAAAGGTTAAGAACCACTGGTCTACAGGATACTCTCTTTTGCTCACTCTGCCATTCACACTTGTTGAAAAACATCCCTGACAGTTGCTTTACGTTTGGGTGAGAAGTGGTTGACTAATGAAAAAAGGAGTCAGGTTCTAGGTTCCCCCCTGTTTAGTATCTCTTTGTGAATGGTAGGAAGCACAAGAGGGTATCCTATAGACCACTGGTTCTTAACCTTTGTTACTCAGATGTTTTTGGACGGCAACTCCCAGAAGCCTTCACCATCAGCTCTGCAGGCTAGGGTTTCTGGGAGTTGCAGTTCAAAAACACCTGAGTAACAAAGGTTAAGAACCACTGCTATAGACCACAGGTCCCCAACCCCTGGTCCATGGCCCGCTGCCAGTCTGTGGCCTTTGCAGGACCGGTCCACAGAGACAGATCTGACCCTGTCCATGCATTCCCCTCACACCCACATGCATGCACTGCATGTCCACCCACATGCACGGATGCCCTGCACGCCCGCACATGCTGTGAGCATGGCATGCTCACCTGCACATGCTTGCGAGTGCACCATGCCGACCTGTGAGCACACTATGTCCACCTGTGAGGGGGGGTGCCTGCCCCCCCAGTCCATGTTTTGGAAAAGGTTGAGGACCACTGCTGTAAATCACCTTGACTGCTGACTATCAACATTCAGACTGTCCTTTGCTATGTAACGTGTGGCACCCTGTTTCTTTCTGGGAACTCAGGAGCCATATCAGACCATTTCCTGGCATTTTGAATTGTGGATACAGAAGCACAATATTCCACATTCATAAATTTAAGATCTTTTTGACTTCATTGTTATTAAAGTTTCCTACAAGGGCTCCTGATGCAATCTTTCCTCCTCTTAACTGTCTTAAGAGCAAAAGGTGTGGAGCACCATAAAGTTTAATAGCCACAGAGGTCCAATCTCGTAATCTAAAAATACGTCTAATTTTTCCCCTACTTTTCGGCCGTAGATGTTGCAGATCTTTTAGCTTGACCATTACAGCATTTAAACTACAAAACGGCGCAGGTAATTTGGAGATTCACATCCATCTATGTCATTTTAATGCTTGGGTCATGCACCAAGTAGTGGTAGTTTGTGGCTCGTATTAGCATGGAAATAATATGGACATTGGGCCAGTTAGGAGAGACCTGACATTGTTGGGAAGTTTTGTGTTGACAGTGAATTCATATATGTGTCAGTTCACCCTGAACGTAGCAGCAAAGAAAGTGACATTTATGGCCCCAAACAGCATCAGAGTGGCACAAAATTCAGACCTAAGTTTGGAGGTAATATGAGGTGGGGATTGTAGTTAACTCAGCCTTTAGAACCATGTACTGTGTGCTTGGGGGAAATTTCCCCCTCCTCGGGACAGCAGCCTGTTGATGATTTACATGTAAACTAAATTGTCTAACTCTCTACAGTGGATTGCCACTGACTAATTGGTTGCTGGTTGCATTATCAGCACCTGCTTGATTGTGCGGAAGGGATGTGCTTGGTGTTTCCTAGGGTGGTGTACTGGAGAGAGTGATGGACTAAGACTCTGAAGAACAAGGTTTGAATCCCTGCTCAGCTGTGGAAAGTCACTGGGGGAGTGGAACTGATAAAAGTACTCCTTCAATATCTCACTTTCTTAAAAAACCCAATAAGGGTCGCTGTAAGTTGGTTTCAGTTTGATGGCACAGTGTACGCACACACACACACATGCACATGCACACAAAGCACACACACACAGGCTTGATAATGTGATTAGCACTTGATTGGAGGCATTGCAATTGGAATTTGAATTGAACTCAGTATTGCTAGTTTATTTGTAGCATGGATGAAATGGAGACTTGTTGTTGATTCTCACTACTGGCCATTCAAAAATGGTGTAGTATGTTGTTATTGGTTTATTATGGGGCTGCTTAAGAGCAACTGGAAACCTCCTCTATTCTATTTACATTTCACCATTAGTAGGTATTACATTTGCTGAGATATGTAGAGTGGGCGGCATATAAAATAAATAATAAATAAATAAATAAATAAATAAATAAATAAATGTATATTATTTTTATAACTTTCATTACTGTATATTTTAAATGTACATTGTTTATTCTGTCTCGTATGAAGTTCTGGTACAGTATTTCTTATTTCTTTTTTAGCCAATAGACTATGATTTGTATCAATTGCTGTAGTATAAGAAATTGTGTGATTTGTATATACCCTGAGTGACAAAGCAGAAGTGCATCAATGACTCTTGGCAGGCTTTTTGTTGACTGACAATTAATGTTTTACACGATGTTTCAATAATGTTTTACATCCCAGTTTTAAATTCTCTGTAATCAAGTCTTTTAGGTTTGCATGAACACTTTCCCTATATCTCTAGCTCTGGAGTGTATTCAGGCCCAGTTGTGAGCAAGAGGCAGACTGACTGAAGGAGCTGGAAGCATGCTAGGCAGGATTTGCAGGTTGGTTGACATAGTCATAGAAGAAGGTGGCCTTAGTGACAACATTCTCCAGGCTGAGGAAAGGCAGTAGGGAAGATTACAGACTGCAGTGTTCCTCTTGAAACTACCTGTATTTCCCTCTGTGTACAGGCATGTCTGCTGATACCGGGAACTAGTGTGCCTGAGACTCAGGCTTCTCATTTTGAGGTTTGTGCTATTGTCTTTTGTATTGCTGCCAAATGATATCATACAGTTTCTCTTCTATCTAGGGGTAGAAGGTATTGAAAGAACAGAAGCATAGGAGGAAGTGAGCAAAGGACCAGGGTGCAAGTTTTGGAAAAAAACAACAACCCAGATTTGTGGGAGAAAACTGCTTTTAAAGGTATGTATGCTTGTTCAGCTTAAGCTAGATGGAAAAGATCTTTGTTGTATTAATTATTATTTGTTGTGTGGTACTTACGACCAATTGTTCATAAATAGATGAGATGTTCTGTTTCCAGAAAATGCTTTGAGGGTGTGTCCTAACAGTAACGTTTGTCACATTTTGTTTGAAATTGTGTCTGTCGCTGGTCTGGTAAAGTACTTCGCATTTCTTTAGGCGTATATGCTTCCTCTTTCTTTTTATGTATTTTCCTGCCTAAGTTCTTACACAAATATACAGAAAATTTCTTTTTAAAATACTTGTTGCAGTTTGGGAATTGTTACATAGAAATCTTACTTATCACATAATATAGGGGAGAAGTCAGTTCTCATTGATAAGGACATTTATTTTGGGTAAAGATTCATTGTTATATTTTGTTTTGTATATTATTTATTGAAAAATAAAAATATTTTAAAAAGAAATTACTACAACAATAGCAGTACTATTGCTTTGTTTTAGGATATGTTTTTATGAGTCATCTTTCACAATTTGGTTTTGGCAAATGTGCAAGAAGGTCTTGACTTGCTGTCATTTTTGAAAGCTACAAGCTGTTTGGCTTTCCCACCATCTGAGAGTAATCCAAGTTTTAAGCCTCAAGGCTATGCAGCTTATTGGTTCTGGCTCTCTAGAAGCCAACTGATTGCTCTGGAATAGTTTAGTCATGTTAGTCCTCAAAAACTGTTGGACTCAGACCATGTTGTTAGCTTATGCATGTTTTGAGACATTTCAGGTTTCTGCATGGAGCTGATAGGGTGGGTCACTATTGATTTCCTAAGGCGGTATTGCTCTGTTGGCTAGGAGCTATAGTCCAAAATGTAAATTTCCCAAGCTGTGGCTGGAGTAGAGGGATAAAACAGACAATTATGACCCTTTCACAATTGTAAACTTCCATTCTTCTTTGAGGACTTTGCAGCTTTTTTTACTTCTTATTTTAAATGTATTTAGCACTGTGTGGGATTGTTGACAAGGAAAGAGAGAATAAAAGGTTCCCTGTTCAACATCGTTCTCATTATTCTTGTGCTTACAGATGTGTTGACCAGAAGAATCTCACTAGTGGCCCTTGGTAAAACTAGTGCCTTATAAAAGATGGGGTTTGGAAGTGATCTGAAGTGTTCTCATGAAGCTTTGCTAAAACTTCAAGATTGGGAGTTACGGCTACTGGAAACAGTGAAGAAATTTATGGCCATGAGAATAAAAAGTGACAAAGAATATGCATCCACCTTGCAAAATCTTTGCAGTCAGGTTGATAAGGAAAGTGCTTCACAACTGGATTATGTTAGTAATGTGTCTAAGGTAAGAAAAGAGTATAGAACTTTGTCAAACTTATATTGTTAATTATTACACATATAGTCATTTTCAGATGATAAAATATACAAGTGTAGCAAATCTTAAGACTACTTTCAAGCATACAGATCTTTCAGTTTTACTCTCAGTAGAGAGGTACTGTACATATTTTTAACTAGAAACTCATAGAATTGCACTATAAATTTTGAAAACAAGGCAATTTTTACTGTTTATGGATTCATATTTCTAGATGATACATGACTGAGTTTTTTTTGTCAGTTTATCAAATAAGTAATTGTACCTGTTCATCCTGTGCTGATATAATTGCTTTCTTTTCTGTTGTGTCTTACTAATTATTGTTTAGGTGAAAAATTGGCTCTGATTCAATGCATATTGCACACATTACAGTGGTGCCTCGCACAACGATGTTAATAGGTTAAAAAAAATGTTCTGTGAAAACATCGTTCTGTGAAACACCATTTCCCATAGAGATGCATTGAAAACCGGATAATCCGTTCCAATTGGAATGGATTGCCGTCCTTAAGCGAAAATCCCCATAGGAAACATCGTTGTGTGAAACAATGTATCCACCATTCAAATGCATTGAGTAGGCTTCAAGGCATCTCAATGGGGGAGAAAAAAATTCACCAAAAATTAACGAAGACTCAGAACAAAGCCAGATTAAGTTTGCAAAGGTTTCACAAGCTGCACTAACGAGTCCAAGCATTTAAAACAGTTTCTGAGTCTTCGTTAATTTTTGGTAAAAAAATTTCTGCCCCATTGAGATGCATAACCCCCACCACCACCAAAAGCAGCATGGCAGCAGTTAAATTTTTTTTAAAATCAGATTTGAACTTGGGCATCCAAATCCCAGAGGCAGGCATGGCCACAAGAGAACAGCAACCATTTCCTTGCAGAATTCCACACACACAAAGCATAACCCCCCCAACCAAGAAGCAGCATGGCAGCAGTTAAAAATTTTTTTAAATCAGATTTGAACTTGGGCATCCAAATCCCAGAGGCAGGCATGGCCACAAGAGAACAGCAACCATTTCCTTGCAGAATTCCACACACACAAAGCATAACCCCCCCAACCAAGAAGCAGCATGGCAGCAGTTAAAAATTTTTTTAAATCAGATTTGAACTTGGGCATCCAAATCCCAGAGGCAGGCATGGCCACAAGAGAACAGCAACCATTTCCTTGCAGAATTCCACACACACAAAGCATAACCCCCCCAACCAAGAAGCAGCATGGCAGCAGTTAAAAATTTTTTTAAATCAGATTTGAACTTGGGCATCCAAATCCCAGAGGCAGGCATGGCCACAAGAGAACAGCAACCATTTCCTTGCAGAATTCCACACACACAAAGCATAACCCCCCCAACCAAGAAGCAGCATGCAGGAAAAAAACATCGTTGTGTGAGGCGGCAAATTTTTCAGAAAAAGCCATCGTTGTGTGAATTTATTGTTGTGTGAGGCACTCGTTGTGCGAGGCACCACTGAACTATCATAACTGGTTTGGAGACACTGTAGTCTGTGAAGTTGGGTTTGAAAATATAACTGGGTTCACTTAGTTAGAATGTTTCACTTTGACCTCTTACAAGCAACTCTGGCTCTGAAGCTAGATACACAGCTCGCTCCGCTGGCGAGTGTGTGTGCATGATGTGTTGTTAAGCTGCAACTGACAATTCTAATAGGGCTTTCAAGGAGAGTAAGATATTTAAGGAGTGGTTTAGCTAGTTCTTTCCCACCGTAATGAGTTTCCATGGCTGAGCAGGGATTCAAACCCTGACTTCCCAGGCCCATCACTCTGTCCACTACACTACACAGTACCAGCCACTGAGTATATTCTTTCAAATGAACTGTCCTCATGAGTTAGAGCTCTTCCCTGGAATTACAAATAATATATCAATGATAAGTCATAGTGGGCTTTCCTCCAGTATTTATGCATTGAAACACTCATGTGCATTTTTTTTCCGGGAAGTCCCAATCCTCTGCATTGCTCAGGTGTTGTTCAGTGCATGGAGACCAGAGTGTATCAGTCTTGTAGTTGTTGTGGATCAGAGATGTCAAACTCAATTTAATTATGGGCAGCATTGGCATTATAGTTGTCCTCACAGGGCCAGTTGTATCTGTAAGACTCTATAAATGTATCTACTCTTTTATCATAATAAATATAATCCTCCTTATTCAGTTATTACTAGTTTTAGTAATAACGTAAGTAAAAACTAGCTCTGAAAGTTAAGGTCTATGATCAAAGTCTAGAAATTATGGCAAGCAGATATTCAAGTGTACAACTATTGTACAATTTATTGAAAAGTGAGTTTTAGTAACACCTGTTGACACCTGCTCCACAGCCCCACCCGTGTTTGTTTGTTTTGTTAATTATTCACGGAAATCTCCCACCTTTCCCTCGTGCTTGCCACAGCCCTCGCCCCTCGTTATCACCTGGCTCTTCACTCACTTTCATAGCCGATTCGGGAGAGGAGGTGGAGATGGTTGCTGCTAGGCTACGCCATCAAACAGTAGCCACCGGGAGCCATGGGAATGGGAGAGAGCAATAGTGAGCACTATATTTCCCAAAATGCTGTACGCCAATGGTCCCCAACCTTGGGCCTCCAGATGTTCTTGGACTACAACTCCCAGAAGCCTTTACCATCACCTCCGCTGGTGAGGATTTCTGGGAGTCCAAGAACATCTGGAGGCCCAAGTTTGGGGACCACTGCTGTACGGCGCCCAAGTGGCTGTACCTTCTGACTCTTTGCTGCTTGGAATGCTGGGATTAGAAGTCCTGCTAGGTGGATTCCCAGCATCCTTGAGGAGCATTATGGGTGACCAAGTAAGCGCCTGCGTATTGTATACTGCACAGTGGCAGGCAACACAGTGAGGTCCACATGAAACAGCCTGGTGGGCCAGATTCAGCCCTCAGGCCTTGCGTTTGACACATGTGTTGTAGATACTAGGAAAGATCAGTAGCATACTTACTTATCCAGTTGCTAGGAACTAGCTGCTCCAGACAGTTATGAGCAACTTTTTGGGTCATGGGGGGTATAGCACATAAAACAGGATTGTCAATTCTGATGAAAACAGTGGGATCTGACAGGCTTATACCACTGTGTCCCGGCCACTGAGGTTTTTTTAGTTTCTCGAAAGAGCTAAGGAATATCTGACTTCCAAAAGGATAGTTGTGGGTGTGTTTACATTTTTCTTCTGGATTAATTTTTTTTTTTTTATATTGCACTGAAATTAAACATGCTTGTATTGATGAACTGTACCTAATCTGAAGAGACAAGAGCTGAAAAATGTTGCAGAAGATGGTGCTCAAGAGGAGGGGTCTAGAGCCTACTTTACTGATAGAAGAACCAGAACACCCTAAGGAGTGGGATCATATTTACCACGAAGAGTCCTGCAGTGGGGTTCTGGTGCAGCTTAGGGTCCCAAAGGGAGAAGCACGAAGTGGGAAAATCCCAAAGTTTCACTTAAACCTTCCTATTGGGGGGGGGGGACGTGAGACAAGGGAAGAAACAAAGGCAAGGCAGGTTGATACAGCCAAGAGTGCAAAAGAGGAAACCAAGATCCATAGAGGAGAGAAGGGCTGGGGAGATCAAGTAACTGAGACAAGCATCTGGTGGTGCTTTCTTGTTTCTCTTCATTGTGAACATATTGCCCTTGCCATGCAAGGTGTGTGGAGGGGGCAAGATAACCTAAGACTGAATATGAGTGGAAAAGAAGGAGGACAAGAGTTGGTAAGAGGAATCAACCAACCTACTAGGACAGAAGGTTCTGAGATGGTAACTGAAGATGATAGACAATTGTGAAAGGAACTGGATAAGTTGTTGAGAGTTTTCATTCTCCTGTTTCACATGTTCTAGCATCTCTAAGTTGTTGGAAACAAAGTACCTGCTTTGTTGTCCATGGAATCTCACATGAGGGAAGGACCATTCCCACTCACGGGGGTTTGGGTGGGAGTGGAGAGGAATATCTTTCCTTGAGTTGAAAAGTCCAAAGACAATGGAACATCTGTTGTTTTCAGCAGCTCTAATTGTGAATGGTAGGTAATGTGGTTTCTTAGCTATGTACTTGAAGACAGTAGGCATATGTCTTATCAGCTTGTACATGTCCTGGACTTTTTTTCAAGGGTCTGGTAAATGTAGTCAAGAAAAGCAAAGTAACACATTAGCCAAAATCAAGTTCAAGGGAAAAAATGTATTTAAGGCAATTGTGCAGTTTCCTGTGTGTCCAGACATGTCAGTGGCTGTGCGATCAGTTGTGCTGTCCAGGGAAGGCTAGATGTTCATGGGAGGCAGCTGTTTCCTCTTGTGGAGCTGGTCTTATGCTGAATCACTTCACTAGATATTCCCAGCTAAGCAGTGATAATACAGCTTCCTCACCGTGTAAGAATGGTGATTATATCTCTTTTTCTTTCTCTGTTTTTTGTCCTGTTCAGCTACTTCTAAGTGTATTTTTGAACCATTCGTTCTACTTCCTGTGTATTCCGTTGTTCGGTTGGGATTCTATTAAATTAACACACTAATTGCTTCATGAAGCAAAGAATCCTTGGGGAAAGGAAAAAGTGTTTCCTATTTCAAATTCATTCAGTTTCCCTTTGTAATTTTTTTTAATGCTGGTAGATGACATGTAGTAGATTGCTCCTCATCTTTTTCAAACTCTTTACTAATGAATTGCTCAGATATTCCCCAGTTAATGCACAGATTGAATAGCAGAGTGCTCCATTTTAGCCTGTGTTCTTATGGAATTGGTAAGTGTGCTTCTGGACATGCAGTGTGATATGACACAAATTTGTGTGTATATTTAAATCAGTAGGTCACTTCATTGTGTTCGCATTTACAAAAAGATTCAGACATTCTATTTTTTTTAAACCTGCCCTTATAAGATTTAAATATTTAATACTTACAAAAACTCAACTAAGAGATAATGTGTGCATGGTTCTTTTGCTTCTAAGCTAATAATGTATCTCTCCTATCTCTTTTGTCTTTAAGTCATGGCTTCTTATTGTGCAGCAGACAGAGCAGCTTAGCAGGATCATGAAGACACATGCAGAAGACCTTAATGCTGGCCCATTACATAGGCTTACAGTGATGATCAAAGACAAGCAGCAGATAAAGAAAAGTTACATTGGTGTTCATCAGCAAATTGAGGCAGAAATGTTCAGGGTATGTTATTCAATCCATGTCCTAGTTGCTTGGTTGACTGCATATGTCCAGCTAACTAGAATGGGTATTTCTTAGGGTAAAATCATGCTTGTCTCTTGAATAGCAGCAGAGAAGCATTTCAGAGAATAGGGGCCACCGCAGAGAATACTTGTCTCTATGTTGCTGTTAAATAGTGCTCTATAAGTTGTGGCACAATCTATGGAGCACCATGAAGATCCCAAAGGTCTAATGCACCAGGGAAGATGGGCCTTGAAGTAACCTGCTTTGTTCAGGATTTTATAGCATAAGCATTAACATGGCTTGGTGGCATATCAGAGACTACTGGGATGTTTGATGTGGCCATGGCGACACATGGCTTAGTTGCATCCTGTTTGGATTGTTGTAATGCACTCTAAGTGGGGCTGTATTTGGAAAATGTTTGGAAACTTCAGCAGGTCCAAAATGTTGCTGCCACATCGTTAACTAAAACTGATTACTGAGATCACATGACTACAATATCTTCACTTGCTGCTAATCTGTTTCAGGGCACAATTCAGAGTGCTGGTTTTGACCTATACAGCCCTAAACAACTTGGGCTCATGCTTCCTGAAAGATAACATCTGTCTTTATGAGCCTGCCCTGGTTTTAAATAGTTGTGGGAGATTTTCTCCTGCTCTTGCTATCATCACAGGTATGTTTGGTGAGGATAGAAGACAGCCTCTGATCATTTAGGGTAGTGATCCCCAACCCCTGGTCCCCGGCCTGGTCCCGGTGCCTGGCCTGGGTCAGACCGGGCCGCTGAGAGAGACCTCCCTCCGCACCCCCGTGTGCACTCACCCCTGCGCCGCCCATTTGCGCCTACATGCGCACTTTGGCTTGCCTGACTGAGAGAGACCTCCCTCCGCACCCCCCGTGTGCACTCACCCCTGCGCCTACATGCGCACTTTGGCTTGCCTGCACGAGCGCTGCGTCGCCATTTGCGCATGGGCACGGGCAGGCCCACATGGTCATGCATGTGCACAAATGGCGGCACTTATGCAGGTGAGTGCCCACCCATGCAAGAGAGCACATGCGCGCGAGTGCGGGGGTGCCCTGCCTTCCCCAGCTGGTCCGCGGACCAGAAAAGGTTGGGGAACACTGATTGAGGTGGGTGTTTCAGGCAGGCAAACACCTTTCCCTTCAGGCAAGCCTTTCTTTCTCCAGTGACTAGCTATCCAAGAGGGGCTTCCTTAAAAACAGGGCAGTAGTTTAGATATATAGTTCAACACAGCACCACAGGGCAAGGTTAGCTGTCATATGCCAGTGTCAGGTTCATGCAAGCCCACTCGCTCGTTTTCACACATCAGGACCTTCCCTTCAGAAAGCACAGACTCCTTCTTTACTTCTACAGGTTAATTCAATGGAACAACTTTCTCCTCAGTTACATAGCTCAATCCTAGGATTCCTTCTTCTGGTTTCCATGTTTCTCCTTTAACACATTCCAACTCATTAACAACAGGATTAATTAGACAGTCAACTGGTAATAACATATCTGGAACAAATGGAGTGGACATCATTTCTGTGTTGGGCTCCCATACTCTCATTTGTGAGTCTTTTTGGACCGGGGGCGGGAATCTGCTCATCCCGGGATTGATCCCAAGGGAAGGTAGACATTTTTTTTATTCTCCTGGTTATTCACCTCTCCCTGGAATCTTTCCCTTCCTCTTTTTCTAGCTTCTTTTTCGGCTCTTTCTCCCCAATATGGGGGGCTTTCTTACTTGCCTTTATCTCTACTCCTCCTTGGCTCTTTAGGCACCTTCAGAAGACCCATTCACCTGTCCATGGATCTTTGTTAAATACCTTGACCCAATTCTATTTCTCCTTCGGCTTCTCAGCTAGCCAGCTTTCCTCAGAAAGTGCTTCTCTCTTCCCCTCACCCTCTTTTATAGCCTCTTCTCTTCCTGCCTGAATTGCTCCCCCTAGTGGACTCTCACTTTCTGGATTTTCTGCATCTTCTACACTTGAAATGACATTTCCCACCATTCTGTCTGTTGTATCTTTCACTGCTGTTGTCGCTCTCTCTGTCAGTTTATCTTATCTCCTTCTCTTCCACAGCCAGTCCAAAAAGATTTTTTTACTCCTTTGTGAAAAATCAGTCAGAGTGGAAACAGAGAGCAACTCTGAAGAGAATGTATTCCATGGTCTTGGAGCCATACAAGAGAAGGCCCTCTCTTGTGTACTTCTTAGGCAGGCCTCTGAAATTGTTAGTATTTCTAAGAGTATTTCTCCTGAATATCTCACTTCCAAACAGGCTTATAATGGGAAAGGCAGTGCATTATAGATAGCTAGGCCCCATGTAAATTAGAGCTTTAAAGGTTAAAACCAACACCTTGATCAGGCCCAGTAAGCAATTATCAACAGATTCAGGTCTTTAAGTAGCAGGCTCATAGGACTGCAATACTGTGTATCAGTTAGCAACCTAGATGCCCCATTTTGCAGCAGTTGAAGATCCTGGACCCTCTTCAAGGGTAGACCCACATAGAGTGCACTATAGTAGTCCAGAGGTGATGTAACGAAGGCATGGATGGCACTTGATAAGTCAGGCCAACACAGGAAAGGTTGTAGCTGACTCACTAAGTGGACTTCTTCACAGGCACCCGTTGTCACCACTGCCATGTGGGAAACCAGAGATTGTGCAGAGTAAAGGAGGAGCACAGTCCCTTCTATAACATGTTGAATCGCCATTCTAGAGTCTGACTTTCTGCTCACTAGCAGCACCTCCATTTTGTCAGGATTTAATTCCAGCTTGTTCACCATCATCCAGCCCATTATTGTGCTCAGGAACTGTTCAAAGGTCCTTACTGCTTCATTGGTGTTGAATGACAGGGTGCAGTATTACTGGGTGTCATCCATATATTGATGTCACCTCACTCCAATAACCTCTCCCATCGGCTTCATATAGATGTTAAATAACATAGGGAATGAGGTGGAGAGGTACCAAAGGCCACAGTATTAAACCATGCACCCCAAACATCACCTTTTGCATACATTCTGATAGGAGGAATCAGCCCCAACATAACACAGAACCAATACCTAGCCAGGAGATCCAACAGATTACCATGGTCAGTGGTATCAAATGCTGCAGAAAGGTCCAGGAAAATAAGATACTGTAACATCTAAAATAACTTTCTCATGAGTTTGTATCTCAAAAACATGATCCAGATGCTGCGCCGTGAAGGCTGCCAAAAGGCTTCCCTTTTGTAGTGCTCCACAACTGAATGTAACATTTGCATACCAGTTACTGTGCAATTCAGCCCAGTTCTATCAGTTGTTACTGTGTACTTGTACCTTGTTTCTGATGTGTTTCTTCTTGTTCAAGTCAAGTCCCTTGGTATTTTTTCTGTTTACTCTTTATCAATAGGTTACAAAAACAGAATTGGAAAAATTAAAATGTAGTTATAGACAATTAATTAAGGAAGTAAATTCTGCCAAAGAGAAGTACAAAGAAGCTGTGTCTAAAGGTAGGTTTATTTACATTTATTACTTGTGCTTGTTGCTTATATTTACCAAACATCTCTAAAGCAAAGTCTAAATCAATTGTACAGATTTAAAATAAATGAGTAAATAATTCTATAATAAAAAACAAAGTAACCAAAAAAAGCCCCTGCCTAATGATAAATAATAGAATTGCTTGAATATGCCATGACCCTTGCACGGTGTACTCAGAACAGTGTACACCAAATCTTTGCAGTCATAGTTAAAAGGAGGAAATTTTCATTAAACAATCCAGATCCATGTTGCTTTGAGCTTTATCCTATCCCATAGCCAACAACTGACAGCTTTTTCTATCTTGCATCTACAGTTCTGCTTTATTGGACCTTCTTTAGGCCAGTCAATTGGAACTAAAGAATAGTAAGTAGAAGTTAAATAGATACCAGCACAATCTAGTAAACTCTTGCACATTCCTCAAAGTGCTCACAGAAGAGTTCATACTGTGGTTATAGTTGGGGAAATTACAGTAGCTCTCTTAACTTCTGCATCCACAAGAATTTGCATAGCAACTATTCCATAATCTTTTATTCAAACAGGAAAAACTCATTCAGTTGGATTATCTGCACTCTAGCCTTTAGCATGAAGTGTAAATCACCCTTTTTTGAGAGGACAGTAACATTTCCATGCGGAAGGGTACCCTTGAATTATAACCTACAGTCTTGTGTTCTTCTCTGAAGTTAATTTTCAAAGGATTCCTGTATAATTTGTTTTTTTCCCCCGGTCCTCCTCTGTTTCCTTATCTCCTGAGCAACTTCTCATTCTACACGTCCTCCTTTATGGAGGCTTATATATCATTTCGATTTCCATGAAATTGAACTTTCATATTTCTTGCTAAATTGTGAAGAGTCTGTTGGTGACTATCTCATTCCTGCAGGAATTTAGATTTTGGAGAATATTCCATGATGTTTTTGAAGACTGTCGTGTATTACAAATTTTGGAGCTCAGGGCTTGCAACAAATCTTCTGAGCTATTTCCTTGGTTCTTGGAAGTTGGATTTAACTATTCCCAAGAACCAATGGGTTGATTGCTACCACCAACCAACTCAGGGAGAAGGATTAGACCTCTTATCCTGCAACAAAGCCCCAAACTACTTCTGTTTCTGTGGAAGAAGAGATTGCATTCTCAAGTTGTAAAATCCATCTGGAATCCCTCAGATGTAGGATTCCTTCATAGATCACTTTGTAGTCTTAAGCATGTGCAAACAGGCCTTCCTCTTTAAAGCAAAGTGTGTTCCTTATATACCACCCCATAATGCTTGAAGCTCTCTCTCTCTCTCTGGGTGGTTTACAATTTAATTACTCAGGCTACATCTCCTTACCCCCGCTCCCAACAAATTGAGTACTCAATTTACCAACTTTGGAAGGAGGGAAGGTTCAGTTAACCTTGAGCTGGCTACTTAAGTCTAGGATCAAACTCAGGTTGTGAGCAGATTCTTGACTTGCAGAAGTGCAGTTTAACCACTGCGCCAGGAGGCTTCATGCCACAAAAGGCATCTCATGGTTACTATATCTTTTCTTAGCAAAAGAAAATACATTGGATCTTAGGTTGTTGGATGTTGTAAGTATAGTATAACACAGTGAATCCTCTCCTTGACTACATTATTGGATTTACAGAAAATAAAATTCAGCTGGAAAGCATCCCCAAGCAGTGGCCAGAATCCAGCTGGCAATTTATATTTGTGTAAGTGAAAGAACATTACTCATAGCAGTATATTGCCTCTAATTAAGAAGGTGCTGTTTTTGCTCCTGGGCATGTGCCTGATTACACGATAAGGCAGTCATCCAGGATTGCAACCAATGTCTCCTTAATTGGAGGCAATTTGCTGCTGTGATTTACACCATTTCATTTATGCAAGTTTAAATCACCAGTTGGATTTTGTCCACTGAAACAAAACATATAAACTGACTGCATTTGAGCTAAATGTCCTAGCCACACTCAAACGTCTGTAGATCTTGGCCCTTAGTTCTTCAAGAGGCAAAGATGTCTCTGGTCTTTCTGTTATCCCTGGCTATGAAAAAAGGAAGATTAATGGTCTCAATAGCCATGAATCTTCCCTCTTCTACAGCCAGGGAAAAGAGAGGAAGGAAAAGGAAGCCCTGATGTCTTATCACTTCCTCTAGAACACTGTTTCCTAACCTTGGGAGACCCAGGTGTTCTTGGACTGCTATTGGCAGAAGCCTTCACCACCAGCTGTGCTGCCCAGGGTTTCTGGGAGTTACAACCCAAGAACACCTGGGTTTCCCAAGATTGGAAACCACTGGTCTAGAATCCTGAAACCTCACTTTCTTTGCTTTCTTTGGGCTCATCTTTATGATTTTATCTCCTTCTAGATGTAGAGCTACTATTACCATAAATTAACTATCCATTATTTCATCAGCTGCCTGAGGCATTGCAAATTCGGTAGTTTGGATTTAAAACTCTGAATACATTTGAAAGTCAAAACTAGGGCAGACCTACTAAATCGATGGCATTTATGTAAAACTTGGCCAATGAACCCTCTAATTTTCAGCCCCACTGGGTGAGGATCCCTCCCCCACTCTCAACTTCTCTTCTGTGTGCACGTGTGCAACTCTGCCCTCCCCCTCATATGCGGGGTTCCATTGCAACTGGAACTAAATGGGCTGCATGGAGGAGAAGGAAAACTGCACAAAGGGAAGTAGAGTCATGCACCTTAGAGGGATCCTTGATATTGGCCCACCATTCAGCAGTTGATTCAGTAGGCCCACATTAGTTGGGACGATCAGTTGGACTTGATATGCAGAAAAATAAATGTAATGCAGTACCCAAGATGATGCTTGCTTTGGAAGAAACCGCTTCCTTAACTTGCAGTCTCCATGCACTCTTAAAAACTTGCCCCAGAAAGCTCAAAACCATCTGGAACAGATTTTCAACACCCTGGAGGGCTGCAGGGGAAGTGGAAGAAAGCACTAAGCTTGACTATTTGGATGGATTTAGCCTGACAGCTCCCTCATTGTAATGGACCTTTTATCCTTTTTATCCTAGCTACTAAGAATTCAAACTATGATACCAGTGTTCTTGACCTATGAAAACAAATTATAATGCTGTCATCTGCATGTGATCTGAGTGTGTAAAAACTATTTAATATGCAAAATCAAAATGATTTTGTTTCCAAATTAAGGGTTGTGCTGGTGAAATGTGTTGAAAAAGGATTATTTGTAGAACAGCTTGAAATGCAGCATGCATTAATAAAGTATTAAGTTGATATGATTAATCTAATTGTTTCCCAGTCAATTAATCCAGAAATGCTATTTATTCTGATTCAGAATCTTTTAGTAATAGTAAAAAGTGAACCGTATCAGTGTTGTGAACTGTGTGTATTTACGTATATAAGGATTGTACAAAGTGATCAGTATGAAATAAGCTACTAAATGAAATGCCTGGGTGTTTGCAGTAGCCAAGAGCTTGTATACACAGTTAAAACTAGTGCACCAGCTATCCTTGTATCTTGAGATGTCTGATGTGGCCAGGGTAATAGATGCCTTGCTGACATCCCATATTACTATAATGTGCTCTTTGTGGGGTTGCCTTTGGAAAACATTCAGAAATGTCACTTGATTCAGGATGCTACACCTAGAGTACTGACTGCACAACTGAATTCCTTGTGAAAACAGGTTCATGAGCTACTGGTCCATTGTTCGAAATAATTCTAAGTTTTTGGTTTGACTCACAAAGGCCTGAATTCCCAGACTTGGATCCAGGCTATCAGAAGAGTTGCATAACTCCATATGTGCCTCCCCAGGTTTTAAGGTCTTTCGTCGTTGTCATTTCGTCATGACCGACTCTTCGTGACCCCATGGACCAGAGCACGCCAGGCCCTCCCATCTTCCACTACCTCCCGGAGTTGTGTCAAATTCATGTTGGTTGCTTCGATGACACTGTCCAACCATCTCATCCTCTGTCGTCCCCTTCTCCTCTTGCCTTTAAGATCTTTAGGGGAGGCCTTTCTCTCAGTGTCACTGACCAAAAGCAGGATGCCTAGTGAGGCCACAAGAGATCGCTTTCTCCGTGGCTACTCCCAAGCCTGTGGAGCTTCTTTTCACTGGAGGCCAAGCTGGCCCTTCCCTGCTGTTCTTTTACTTTTAGTCAAAGACTTTTCTCAGGCAGGTTTTTAGTAAGCAGCTGACTGCAGGGAAAATACTTTTAATGGGAGCTGCTATACATTTTACCTTTTAAAATGTATCTTTAATTGTCTAGAATAGTGTTTATTTAGTAACTTTCTTATGAATATATTTAATGATTTTAATATTGTAATTTACTGTAATTTTAATTGTTTTAATATTTGTCTTTTAAATAATTTGTTCAGCCCTTCATTTTGGGTCCCTTTATTGGGAGAAAGGCAAGATATACTGTAAATAAATGAATAAACATCCATTTGTATCCATATGCTGGTGGAATGACACCTACCGGTAGAGCATATTTTTTCTTATATCCGAAGCCCCCTCCATGTGTGTCTCTCCTGCTCCCCCACATCTAGCAGACTTTGGAAACACTTAAGGAGCTATAGTGGGAGGACTGAAAAGACTGAAAAGATATACTGTGGAAGAAATACTGCACTTCCTGTAGTGAGAACCCAGCTTTTTCTCAGCCTTCTCCAGTTGCCTTGAATTGGTTCAGTTGCATTAGCCAGTATTCCAGTGCTGCTCTGTTATCCAATTTATGCCCATGGTCCTGGGCCTTTATTAATCATAGCCCCCACCAACTGGACCGAGAAATAGGAAAAAAATGAGAATCACATGTCTAGTTTGTTATTGTTAGCTTAATCAAATACTGTATGTTCTTTTTTAAAATGAAAAACTAATCCAATGATGATCAGATTTTTAACAAGTAAAAAAAGTATCTCCATTTAAGATACAAATGTATGTCCTTCAAAAATTGGATCTCAGCTGCTAACTGAAGTTTAACTTTGTTTGTGTTCATATATACTTCACCTTTTTATGCTGAAAGGTTTAAAGCAGCGGTCCCCAACGTTTTTAACCCCGTGGACCGGCTGGGGGAGGCGGGGCAACCCCTGTGCTCCTGCGCATGAGCAAAGGAGCATGCACTCTCATGTGGGCGCTTGCGTACATGCACAAAGGAGCGGGGAGCACTCCTGCAGGCACTTGTGCCCATGTGCAAAGGACGCAGCACTCATGCCGGCGTGCTCGGGTGCATGCACAAAGGGCGGCACAGGCATGCTTGTGCGCATGTGCAAAGGGTGTCACAGCACTCAGGGGGCACTTGTGCGCATGCATAAAGGGGTGGGGAGCGCTCATGCAGGCATGCTTGTGTGCATGTGCAAAGGGTGTCACAGCACTCGGGGCACTTGTGTGCATGCATAAAGGGGTGGGGAGCGCTCATGTGGGCACAGGCGCAAACGGGCTGTGCGGGGGGAGTGTGTGCGAGTGTGAGGGGGAAGTCTGTCTCCACAGCCCGGTCTGGCTCAGTCATAGACCAGCACCGGGCTGCAGGTGGGGGTGGGGTGGGGACCTCTGGTTTAAAGCACTGTGATGATTGATGTGGACTTTAATTGTGATGGCCCAGAAAAAAAATATTACAGAAAAACGGTTTTCCTCCTAGGGGTTTTTAGTTTTTTCAGTGGAAAAAAATGGAAGTTTTTGTGAACATAGGGGAAAACCCCTCAGCTGAAACATTTTCTCCTCTGCGATGAATGAAACGTGCAGACATCCTGGGCAGTTGGGAAAAAATTAAAACATTAACAATAATATATTACTTTCATTAGGACCAAATGAAAGCCACAAAAAGTGATTTCCCCCCAAATCTGATATGATTAGCATATATTAGAATTAATTTTAGAAGTGGGAAAGATGGAAGAAGGAGAAAAATATGTTGCAGTAATGGAGTGCAGGATTCAAGCCCATCTGCAATATGATAATCTCTTCCAAATGGCGAAAGCACAAGTGTTTGAGGGCAGGTAGGGGATGAGTGCTCACTGGAAGGACAGATCCTGAAGCTGAGGCTCCAATATTTTTAGCCATCTCAGAAGAAGAGAAGACTCCCTGGAAAAGACCCTGATGTTGGGAAAGTGTGAAGGCAAGAAGAGAAGGGGATGACAGAGGATGGTTGGACAGTGTCACCGAAGCTACCAACATGAATTTGACCCAACTCCAGGAGGCCCTGGAGGACAGGAGGGGCTAGCATTCTCTGGTCCATGAGGTCATGAAGAGTCGGACACGACTAAACAACAACAACAAGGGGATGATTGTCCCCCACCCTGAAATTTCTTTATTTTAATGTACTCAGGTAGATTCATTGTGTTGTACCGGCATGCTCTCTGTACATGAATTATGCTAACATATCTGTGTAGCTCCCCCCTCACCATGGAAAACCCTTTCCAGAAAGTGCTTTGTGAAGTGATTATGGTAATGTGCCCATTGGAACAAATCACAATATTGAACCAAGGTATTCTGGGGCAAAGAAGCAGAGGCTCTTCTCTTTTTGAAAATACAGAAGACAGCAATCATTTGAATCTGTTTTTAGCACTAATTGGAACTGGTGGAGCCTGGGGAAGGCAAAGAGCAGAAGAAATTGAAGTGAAGGGCTATAACAATTGACTTAAGAACTTGAGGATCTCATTAGGTTAATAGCTTGCACTAGGCTGCAGATATGAAAATATATGCAGCCTGAAGAAGAAAGCAACTAGCTTCTTAGCCTTGTGTTTCTCAGTTAACAGGCACCCTGTACCACATGGTAAACTGCTTTTAAATAAAGGTGACCTTAGGTGTACCTAAGTTTCTATTTGGATTCCAGCCAGTGCAAATAATTAGCTTGAGAAAGGGATAGAAAGATGAATAGAACTAATAAGAGTGCAGTTCTTCAGAGTTAAGCATTTTAAAAGCCTCTTGAATTCAATGGGAAGAGTTAATTCACATTCATACCTGTAAGGTTGACATTAGTGGGAGTTTAAACAGTTAGATTTGCTTTCACCTTACCCAGATTCTATTGATTGCTGCCTTGCATAGTTTCAGATTTTCTCCTGTTGTTTTTCCTCCAGGAAAGGAGACTGAAAAAGCCAAAGATCGTTATGACAAAGCTACTATGAAGCTCCACATGTTGCACAATCAGTATGTGTTGGCGCTAAAAGGAGCACAGTTACACCAGCACCAATATTATGATGCTACACTCCCTCTGTTCCTTGACTCATTACAGAAGATGCAAGAAGAGATGATTAAAGCACTGTAAGACATCCTTAGTTTGTTTTGCAAATGCATGACTGGTTAACCTAATGAAATACAGCTGCACTTTAGTGTCCTGGAATGGTACATATAGCTGTTCGTAGCTGTTCCCGAATGTTTTACTTTGAAAAACAGGGAAGTATAAATGCAAAGTGGTTCTCAAGCTTTGCCTTCCATGTGTTTTCTACTTTAGCTCCCAGAATGCCTCACCATTAGCTGCACCAATGGTGGTGCCAGAGTATTGAAGTCCCAAATATCCAGCAAGGCAAAGGTTGAGCATCAACCTTCAGATTCTTGAGAACTCTCTCTATGATTTAGGATTAGACATGGGGGCTTCGTATTAATATACATGTACGAAGCCTGCCAGCACAGGTGGCTGGCCCGATTACCACCAACCCCCAGAACCTGCCAGACGACTTATTGCACGGCATGTAGCATGCATGGCCAGTGTCCTCCCCTGTGTCCCAGGTGTGGCAGTAGCCTGGTTTCTGCAGCTTTGCCTCCCTGCTCGCACATCCTGGCAGGGTTAAGTGGGAGGATGAGTCTCCCTGCTCAGATGAAGAGTGGCTGGGGGTGGGTGGTAATTGAGCTGGCCATCTGTGTGAGCAGACTTCATATTTGTGTACGAATGAGACATAGGGATGTATATAAAAAAAATCAGGATATTCATTAAATATCCCTGATTTGTCAGATATTCATTGTTTCCTATTCTTGGGGTCCAGAGACCCCAACAATACAAAGCAATGACTATAACCCTTTTATATTCATCCCTTCGTTCCCTATCTGCATATGCCCCCATGGATCAGCTGTTCCTTGGGGGCATAAGCAGAGAGGGATTTTCTTTTCAGGTGGCTTGCTAAACCTTGCCCAAAGGGAACCCCACCCCAGGGCAGGGAGATGGCTTGATTCCCCTTTCCTCATCTTCCTATGCCTGTGCGGCATAAGAAGAGGAGGTAAGGGATCAAAGGGGCCCCCCAATTATCACTTTGCTCCCTGCTTTCCCTCCTCTTGCTATGGCCTGTGGGGCATAGCAAGAAGAGGGGAAAAATGATATCTCAGCTGCTGCAGGATCGCTTTGATCTCTGCTGTCCCTCTTCTTGCTAAGCCCCACGGGGCTTAGCCAAAGGAGGGGGAAAGGGATCAAACAATCCTGCAGCCACGGCTGCTTGATTGCTTTGATACCTGCTTTCCCTCCTCTTGCTAAACCCAGCGGATTTTAGCAAGAGGAGGGGGAAAGGGATCAAAGCGTTGCACGATCACTTTGATCCCTGCTTTCCTTCCTCTTGCTATGTCCCGGGGCATACAAGGAGGGAAAACAAAAAAATAATAATGACCCAATGAATGATGAATTGATTCATTGTTTGTCGGGCCACTGGGGGACAATTTGTGGTTCCATTTTGGTGCTTCGTCCCCATCTCTAATATGAATACAAAGCCCCGATGTCTATTTAGGATCAGTGTGTCTATGGTATCATCTTTTCCCATGTGAACTAGTGTTAGAGATACTGCTCTGACTGTCACTGATTTCAGATATTAGGTTAATGGCAACCAGAGATGGGTCTCATTTGGTGACAGTGCCTTTGTTGTGGAATGCTCAGTTTGCACCTTCTCTGGTTTTTTGGTACAAATTAAAGACAGTTATAGTTTCCTGGTACTTTAATTAGCTTTTTAAAATTCTCCCATAGTTTTTTTTCTTCATCATATTGTTGTTCTGTTTCTGTTATTCACTGCTGGTGGAGATTTCAAGTTGTTTGAATGATAACTGTTGGGTTTTTTATCCTTTGTAATGCTTATGTTGGAAGCGTCATTTGAAAAGCAGCCTATCGTTTAAAAATGTATTTACTGCCTTCTGGGCTGCACTTGAATGTTTTGTTTATGTATATGGGTTTTTGGATAGATATAATTTCTTTATCCCCTTCTTGTTCTGTCTTCTATTTGGCATCATATAGATTCTTTCAATGTAAATGGAAATGAAGTAAAGTTTTTGAATTTTTTTAAAAAATAAAACTGCTTCCGTAGATATTCTAGAATCAGGTTCCTTTTTCTTCAAGCAATTGCTGAAATATTAATAGGTCCTTTGGGACTAACACAGTAGCATTCTTTAAACTTTGTGGTAAATTATTAAATTAGAGCCTATATTTGCCATTCCCGAAGCAACTGACCTTGTTCTTTATTTTATTAATTCTGCTCTTTTCTCATTTTGCCAACAGAACGTACTGCTGCTTCTCTTAGCCTAAAATTGTACCTTTATGCCTTTACCTGTATGGTTTGGATTCTCTAGGGAGCAATTGGCAAAATATAAATCTTCCGTTTGCATATCAAACTTGCTTAGAAGAATGAGGAAGAAAGAAAGCCAGATATATGGCATCACACAAATGTTATCACTTGAGATTCTAATTTGGTTCTCAAGGCTGTACCTACTAGTTTATGTGGTATAGCATATTAGGCCTATCCTAACTTTGCTCAGATTTAATGTATTGCATATTTACCACATAGTAGATTCAGGGTAATAGATTTCTTCCTCCACTCAAAAGAAAATACTTTGAAAATGGTTTGTGCATTAGAGAATATTCTGAAGCATGCCAAGTGCTATTTGGTTCCTTGGTTTGTGTTTTTATCATGTCATCCTGCTCAGATGAATCTAAAGAATGTTTTCTCAAAGAGAAAGAATGTTCTTCATAGCCTTTTGTAATAAATAGGTTAGATTATACTGGATAAATGTCTACTAGCAGAAAGGATGAGTAAAGGGTTTGCATTTTTGTCCATTTTTCTCTTCAGTGTAACATCAGGTAGAGAGGAGACTAGAACTATATAGTGGTGCCTCACTTAGCGATGTTAATCCGTTCCGGAAAAAACATCGCTAAGTGATTTAATTGCTAAGCGATATTAAAAAACCCATAGGAACGTATTAAACCGCGTTTAATACGTTCCTATGGGCTAAAAACTTACCTTAAAGCGAAATTCCTCCATAGCGGTGGCCATTTTGGGTGCCTCTAAAGCGAGGCAAAACAGCGGTGGCCATTTTGTTTTTGTGGTGGCCATTTTGGAACCGCCGATCAGCTGTTTAAAAAAGTTCGCTTTGCCATGATGACTTCCCCGCGATCATCGCAAAGCGAATTTTAGCCATAGGGGACATCGCTAAGCGATCGCTCCAGTGATGGCCAAAAGTCCATCGCAAAGCGATTTCATCGCTCAACGGAGCGATCGCTAAGCGAGGCACCACTGTAGTTTACTTCTTTTCTCTATTACCCTTCCTCTGTGGTTTGAGAACAAAATGGAGCAGCCGTAGTAGGGTAGATTTTGCAAACTTATTCACATGTACTGTCCAGTACAAAGAGAGGGATGAATGTAAGAGAAGTTGCTTGGGTTTCAAAGAGCTCTTTCTTTCATGGCTTACCTGCTTTCAAAATGATAAAACAGGCGGTAATTGTTGGAAGGATCTTCCAGGACATTACTTCTTTTGCACTTCTCCTGGTGCGTACCCAGTAGAAACATTATGGAAGCAAGAGTAGACTGTAACTAATCCTTTCATTTACTGTCTCTCACTGTCCTGTTGCCTTCCCCTCCCATAAAGATTCTGTCGTTTCGTGTCTCCTTCTGTCATTCCTTTCTCTAACCCTCAAACTGTTAACATCTCTTTCTTGACAGTGGGCTAAACTCCTCCTCTCTAAGCCATGTGCTCAGGCTTTGAGACATAGTCTTCTATCTATTTTAGGATAGGCTTTTCTATCATGTTTTTCTAAATAAACCTAGTAACTTTAGTAACTTAACTGAAAGCATAATCTTCTACCTGGTTTGTTCCAGAGAACAGTAATAAGCCCATGGTGAAAGTAAAATCCCAGCCTTGTTCCCCTGATCCAGCTTGGAGAGATTGACCGAAATCCTATTGCTTAAATAGTAAATCACACTAGAGTAGAACCACTGAATCAGTGGAGATTTGGTGAGTCAACTCCTCCAAATTCCATTTATTCAAATAGACCTACAGTATTTTAGTTATGACTTTTGTGAGCAAAATGTGTTGCAACTATAGTAGGCCCATTTAAATCACTAGAAGGTACAGAGGAGTTGATGCATCACATCCCCACTGATTCAGTGGGCTTACTCTAGTGTGATCTGCTACACGAAGAAGCAGGATTTCAGCCAATGTATTCCAGCATTCAACAGAAACTATATTTACACACTGCAGATTTTTTGCACCATAAGACGCACGTTCTCTCCCAAAAAAACTGGTGGGAAACGTCCATTTTTAGAGGCAGGTCTGGCCTTTACATCAGTTTCAAAATAATTTCTCCTTAGAAAAGTATTTCAGATACTGTGAAGTACTCGTTGATCTTAACATATATTTGAGTGAGATCTGAAAAAGTATGTGGTACATGCCAGGAGGAAGAAAGAATGGAAAATAACTGCCCCACTTTCTGCATCCTGGAAGGAAAACAAGGTTTGACCTACAGATTGTATTTGTTCCTATCTAGGAGTGAAAATGAGAGGAGTGAATTTTACTGCATAACTAACTTTGTTTGCTCTTGTTCAAAAGTTTATCTTTGTGAAGCCTAAATGGGACTGACATTTTCCAGGTTTACAAATAATCTATTCTTTTTCAGAAAAGGAATTCTTGAGGAATACAGCCAGATCACCAGTCTGGTAACAGAAGAAATAGTGAATGTTCATAAAGAAATCCAGACATCTGTTGAGCAGATAGATCCTTCTTCGGAGTATGATAGTTTCATAGAGGCCTATAGGTAAAATATTCAGAGTTGTTTTTCGTTTTACATTAAAGCTATAATCTGTGAAAAATAAATCTGTTCTAAATACTGTAACAGATACAGTGGTACCTCGAATTATGAACATCTCCACTTGCAAACGTTTTGAGTTACGAACAGCTCCGTTTGCAAAATGTTGCTTCGACTTGCGAACAGAGCCTCGACTTACGAACGAAAAAAAACCTTTCCTGCTCTTTTTTTGACCTAAATTCATCTTAGGTCAAAAGAAGAAAAAAATAAAAAAATTCTCCCCCTAGTGGCAGAGTATGGATTAACCGGCTTTGCATGAGTTCCTATGGGAACTTATGCTTCTACTTACCAATAGCACCTCGACATAAGAACGAAAAACAGCCTGAACGGATTAAATGGTTTTCAGTGCATTTTTACGGGAAATCTTGCCTCGACTTACGAACTTTTCGACGTACGAATGCCATTCCAATATGGATTACGTTCGTAAATTGAGGTATCACTGCAATTTAGTGGTGACTCAACTTCCATGAGTGACTGTTTAGAGTAGCAGCAAGGGTGATGATATGGTTAAAATCATCTGACTGTTGTGAGGAACCTCTTGATAGAAACATTTTTTAACTAGTTTCTTCTTAGCCCTAAAGCCCAGTATTGTCCACTCTGATTGGGCCTGGCTCTCCAGAGTTTCAGGTAGCATTCTTTCTTGCCTGGAGATGCTATATTGTTTACTGGTCCTCCATTATTATACTGACTAGACCTAACCCTACTTTCTGTAGGTTCTCCAGCAAGAACGAAAAGCTGTTCTCACCTATAAGCGCTGAACAGACCCTGTGCTAGAGAACTTTCCTGGGAATGGTGTGTAAGGCCATAGTTTTCATTGCTGAAGCAAATGCAAGAGGATTTGGAAAATATGCCATTGTGAATAGAAGTAATGAAGTGATGGTTTATAGTAATTAATATCTTGACTCCAGAGAAAGCCAGACTGTGATCCATTCTGCAAGGCTTCTGTGCCTGGAGTTTGTCTGTAAAGCTGTAGCAGTTTCCGGAATAATCTTTAGATTAATTTTGGAAGGTGAATAAAAAGTTGGTGGAAAGAGCTAAGAGAAAAGAGGATGGAAGGGTTAAAAGAAGATGGAAGTAGAAAGTAGAAAGAAGAATGTAGTGAATAGTAATATAGTTTAGCACAGTGGTCCCCAACCTTTTCCCTACCGTGGATCAGTTGGGGTAGGCGGGGTATGGGCATGCACAAGCATGGTACAGTCACGGGTGGGTGTGGTGCACTTCCGCAGGGGTGTGGCACACTCGCAGTGTGTGTGGTGTGCTCACGCGCATGTGTGGGCGTGCTCACGAGGGGCACTTGCGGGGGGGCAGGAGGTCTGTGTCCACAGTACGGTCCTGCCTAGGCCACGGACTGGTGCCAGGTCGCGAACCGGGGGTTGGGGACCCCTGGTTTAGCAGAAACCGTTTACTTAGATCAGAGAATATAGTGTGACCTTATAAGATAGGAGCCAGTTACAATGAAGATAATTTAACCGATTTTATATTGTAGCTGTCAGATAAATTTCCTTTGTCTGCAGATGGCTAGAGTATAGGTTGTGCTTATTCCGGCAACACGAAAGCTTCATTACCCCACAGTGATAGTGTTCTTGTTAACGTGCTGCTTCAGATGTTTGGTTTATCTATGTCTCACTCCTACTCTCTCAGCTGTGTACAAACTAGTTGCAATAGCACCTGAAGATGACTGTGTTTTGTATACTATGCAGACATTTTTATACAATACAGTAATGTTGTTTACAAAAAGGATAACTTGTACTTTTAATTGAAGGAGTATTTGAGCATTGTGTAAAACCAAATATTTGCTTTGCATTTATAAAGGACATCAGATGTTGAACAACAAGAAATAGAGTTTGATACATCTTTACTAGAGGAAAATGAAAATCTTCAAGCCAATGAGATTATGTGGAATAATCTGACAGCTGAAAGTTTGCAAGCTATGTAAGTTAATCTTAACCTCCTTCCCTTCCATCTTATATTAATGCCTTTTCTGTGATGAAGATGTATAAAGTAAGCAAATGAATTAATTCTATGTACATGTGCATAGTATGCAAAATGTACGTATGTTGATTCTGATATTGAGACTTGCAAGATGTCTGGGGTTTTTGTTGTCATTGGCCCAAATTCTTTTGTGTAGCTGTGGAGTAGTTGTAACTTTTGGAGGCGAATGGCTTGAAGTTAAGAAATACCTGAAGTCATTACTTGTATGTTGAGTCTTGTGGTTCAATATGTAATAGGGAATATGTACAGAAATTTCATATATTTAGGCAGTTTGCTTCCAAATCCATTTGCATTACGCCAGTGTAATTAGGCAAGAAAGAGAGACTGGGCCATTGTTAGCAAAGAATCTATAGAAGAGGGAGATGGGCAAAGAAGTTACTGTAGGATGTCCTGGAAGTTTAGAGCAGGAGGGAATTGTAGTCCTGTGGGACGAGAGTTCTTAATAATAGCCTAAACTGTTGCATACCTCTATAACTTTTTCACAGAAAGCACAGAAAGGCCAAAGCTGGGTTTTGAGAAGTTCAGTGTGTCTCAAAGGGACATGTTAAAGCAGGTGGGAAGCAGGGGCAGAATATACACGGATGGAACAGTGTAACTGGTTGACTGGTATCCTGCCTCGCTGTAGAGTTGCTGTCTGTGAAAGTGATCAGCGACGTGTTAGTTTAGTTTTAAGAACAATCTGTGTGATGAGATGGGGGTTTTGTGTTAGATGTTAATTTGTAGAAGTAGTTACTGTTAGGTTAGAGTCAAAGGAAATGCTGTGAGGTAGTTTGCTGAGAGCTATGCTGTCAGCAAGTACTGAAGTGTCCGTGTGAAGAACCTGTGAAGTCTAATATGCATGTGTTCTTGATGGACCTTGTGTAAAATCAAGGATCCATATATATACTGAATGTATTAGTAAAGAGTATATGTGCTTAAAGTAGGAAATGAGAAGGGAAAAGACAAAGAACGTTCAGCCATCTGAAAAAAACTTGACAGACTGTAACTGGAAGTTTCATTCTATTGTTTTTTAATAAACATATTTTAAGTTGTTAAATACTGGTTATTATTTTGGAAATTAGCAGTCAGAAGCTACCGTAACATACATGCTGCTAGCTTGTGCTGGGATGTATAGTCAACATTGTGATACCAGAATGACATAGGGTATGTGTGTGTTTCATAAAAATATGTTCTTACAGTTTTTTTTAGAAGGGCAATGCAATTCCAGCCCTTAGCTGTGTCCATTCTTAAGCAGAAGTAGAAATGGGACACTGGCTGTTTGCTGGGATTGATAAAAAGGATGGTCCAGGGGAAGAAGTTCCTATTTACAAATTAAATGACAAGCTCAAACTTATTGAAGGTTTTTTGGGGGTTGGGTGAGGGTGCGGGGTTGTTTCGTGGCAGCCCGCTCTGGATAGAGGAAGGTAGGAGTGTCTTGCTACATTAAGGATAAAGCAGGGAGGGGAATTAAAATAAATCAGAAGAGCATCTTTTGAAATACAGTGGTGCCTCACTTAGCGATGTTAATTCGTTCCAAAAAATCGCTGCTAAGCGATTTCATCGCTAAGCGAAACACGGTTTCTCATTGAAATGCATTGAAAACTGGATAATCCGTTCCAATAGGAACGAATTGTCGTCCTTAAGCGAAAATCGCCATAGGAAATATCGCTAAGCGAAACACGGTTCCCCAATTGAAATGCATTGAAACCTATTCAGTGCATCTCAGTGGGGGAAAAATGCAACAACAAATTAAAAAAGAGCCAGAACAAAGTCAAATTTGGCTAACAAAGGGTTTATTAAGTGCACTTTATGATTTAAAACATTTTAATCAGTAAACTTTAACTTTATAAATAACAGAAAAACATTTAAAAAACAGCAAACATGAGGCTGTTTAAACCAGTGGTTCTTAACCTTTGTTACTCGGATGTTTTTGAACTGCAACTCCCAGAAATCCCAGCCAGCACAGTTGGTGGTGAAGGCTTCTGGGAGTTGCAGTCCAAAACTCCTGAGTAACCCAAGGTTAAGAACCAGTGGTTTAAACCAGTGGTTCTTAACCTTCTTTCTGGTAGACCATGATGTGAGTAAAGCTCTGCTTTATTTTATTTTTTTATCATGCCCATTTAGTGACACAGCACTACTCTGGGCAGCTAACCACAGTAGGAAGAAATAAAAAAAACTCCCTAACCATCACTAAGCAAAAATCGCCCATAGGGACCATCGCTAAATGAAGCGCAAAAACACTCTGAAACAGTCATCGCTAAGCGATTTTGTCGCTAAACAGAGCACCCGTTAAGCAAGGCACCACTGTACACAAATTAAAACAAGAAAGCTAGTTTTCCTGAGCCATCCTTATCCAATAGCATTATTCTTATTGAAAGAGCAAACTAGGACACAGGATCAAAGCATACACCGAGTCCAAGTATAGACAGATGTAAGGACACGGGGAGCGTGGTAGAGAGTCTTGAACACATATATTCATGACCCATAACAATACTGATGAAGCCTAGCTTTATAGAACTTGGTAGTCTGTGTTGGTTCTCTTAGGAACAACAGCTGCACTAATTTTTCCAGTGAGCAAGTCCTACTGATTAATCTTAACTAGATGGGGGGGGGGACCTGGCTTGCAAACAGTCTTCTAAGCCACTGGTTCTTAACCTTGGGTTACTCAGGAATTTTGGACTGCAACT